CTCCTCACTGTCACCCAGCTGCCCTCTTTCCCCAGCTGCTTGGGGTCTGCTGGGGAACAGCTAGCGGGTTATCAAGAAAGGAAAGAAGATCATGTAGAGCTCCTCATCTTCAAGGCGCTCTACAGGTCCTCTATAGGGGCAATTAACAAACAACAGAGCAGCATAACGTTGAAGATAAGGACAATAAGAACAGGCAATAAGAGGGAAATAATAAATACACAGATTATACAGTATATACAGTTTTAAAATTAAAGTGACTGAAAGGTGAATAAATAACTGTAAGTGACTAAAAGTGAATAAAGTGTCGGTAGTATAAGAAGAGTGTAGTTTATGTTTCTGGTGTGGGAAATGGTCTTATCGCCTGGAGTTAAAAAGCAGAGTGGCTTTGGGGACAAAGGTGGCTCTCTTCCTCTCAGTCAAACAGGAAATGCAGCAGAGGCGTCGCCCAGAGGAGAGTGATTGAAATGCGGGGTGAAGAATGTGAGAGGGGTCGTTGATGATTTTGGCTGCCTGTCTAAGGGCCTGTTGGCTGAAAACCTGTGCCAGAGTTCTGACAGGCAGGCCAATGATTTTAGAGCACACTGATGCAGTGTGCAGTCTGTTCTTGTTCTGAAGGCTGAGTGAGTGGAACCAGCAGGTGATGGAGAAGGTCATGATGCTTTCCAGGAAGGCATAGTAAAAAGTCATCATGATGAGTGTGCTGACTCCAAAGGAGTTGAGTTTCCTAAGGAGGTATAGCTGTTGGCGGCACCTCCTGAGAATCTCCTCTGTGTTGGCAGAGAGTTTCAGGAGGTTGTCAAAGATGGTTCCCAGGTATTTGTACTCATCAGACGGAGAAAGAAGGCTGTCTCAGTCAGTGGCTTCGAAACATCCTTGTAGGGTGAGGATACTTTCCTCTGTCCACTGCTCGATGTTTTTGGTGACCTTTTTAATCCTGTTGATGACTGGGATGTAAGCAGGGGCAGGCAGGATGGTGTGGTGGTCTGCTGAGCTGAGAGGGGGGAGGGGTAGGGCTTTAAATGCATCTTGTACAGAGCCATAGCATTTATCCAGAGTCTTCCACTGACGTGTGCTGCATGTAACATACTGTTGGTATCCTTTAAGCGACTTGTCAGGGGAACAGTGGTTGAAATCACCCAAGATGAACTTGGGGGGAGTCCGGTGATAATTGTTCCAGTTTGTACAGAGCGTTGGTGAAGCAGTCTGTGGCCTTAGCTGCATCAGCTCTGGGGTGGGTTGTACACCAAGATGATGAAAAGCTGTGGGAATTCTCTGGGGAGATAGTAGGGGTGCAGGGAAACAGCCAGAAGGTCGATGTTTGTAGTGCACAGCTTCTCCCTCACAGTGACTGTAGAACACCAGCTGTTGTTTACATACAGATACACGCCGGCGCCATGTTGCTTCCCAGTGCATTTGCGGTCTCTGTCCATATGAAGTGGTGGTGAAAAGCCATCAATGTGCAGCATGCTGTCATCGTCGCTGTTGTTTAACCACGATTCCGTGAATGCCAGAACGGAGGCAGTTCTGTACTCATGCAGGTGGTTGACGCAGGCTTGCAGCTCGTCCAGCTTGGAGCGGAGAGACCGTACATTAGCAAGGATAATGGACGGAAGCACTCGTTGTTTTTGTGTCTCCATCTTTAGTCTGGCTCTCACCCCACTCTTCTTTAATCCCCTCCCGGTTACCTTGTTATTGTGAGTTTTTTGATTTCCGTGTCCACGGAGTATTTCTTTGGGAAAGTAGTCCGTGGAAGCGGAGCGGAAAAGCCGGAGGCCAGGCTGCAGCTGCGGCCGCAGCTGGATGAGGGAGTCCCTGGTGTAGGTGAGCCTTGGGGTCATGTCGAGTGTCGAAAACAAGTCCAAGAAATCACAAAAATGAGGAAAAGGAAGAGAATCCAAATATACAGAATAGACGGCGAAATACAACAACGAAAAGAGCATTAAAGTTAGAAAAAGACCGCAAAACTGCTCAGCTGAATGGCCGGTCGACCGCACGAGCAGCAACCCGGGACTGGAAAAGCTAGCTACCTAGATAGGTAGGTAGATAGATAGATCATATAATTTCATTGAGCTTTTGGATAGTGCCATACAAACCTGACACAGACAAAAAGAAAAAACATGGAGACATGACTGACTGGGGAACCAGAAAGAATAACAAAACACTGGTCACAGAAACCAGCATTTACCATGGTAACACAGTAAGAAATGACTGAATGAGAAACCCTGGTTAACATAATGTTTTTTTAACTACTTCTGTGAGTTACCATCAGCAAACTGAAACCACTGAGAAACTGGTGGAGTGCCATTTCAGAATAAGCTTGTTTAGTGCATGTTAGTTCAAATGAATTGGCATCCTCTCTGCCTTCTGTAAATGAAAAGAGCCCTCTGTTGGACTGAGAATACGTGGTCATTGAAGAATATGGCATTTCCCGTCCCTCTATGTTAAGCATGGTATTTCATAATAATTATAATTTATAATTATAATTTATTTTTATTATAATGTATAATTAAATATTTATTTTGTTATGTAATTTTGTGTTTGTATTAGTCTATTTCTTAATTTTATTACATAGAAACTGATGCAAAAAACTGATGCAATAACTGTTAAGGAACACCCACTGGCAGGTTTCTTTTACTTTTTAAATCAAAAATCCCTACCATAATGCTGAGTATTTACACATAAAGCAAAAGAACACGGGGGATGGTTTGACTGTGATTCCCAAAGAGGGGATGCTGAAATGTCCTGATTTCGGTACATATGAGTATGTGGGATGTTGATGTTGGCTGAACATATGCTAAAGCCTCAGACATGAGTCACAGCTCATGATGCCATCTTCACTTGGAGCCTGCCAGTCTGGAAAAAAGGATTTTTGTTGGTTTTCAGTGGGAATTCACACTAGTATTCTTTTCAAATGACCCAAATGATGACACGGACAGCTGTTTTACCTGAAAAGCATTGAGAAAGCATATAGGCCTGTCCTCAGTAGTCTAAATATACACAGATTTATACACACAAAACGATCCCTGTCAGATGTCACCCCTACAAGCCCCACCCTGATCGCTTCTGGTTTGCTAGCTTCCATTTACCACTGTGTTAATCTGTTCCCTTTTCACATCCCCCCTCCTCCCGATTCTCTTGCATGCTCTCTCTTTTGCTCCTCCCCTCTCTTCCCTCAAAGCCAGCAGCCTCCTGCTTGATCCTGCCTGCTTACTACATGGTCTCTTGGAATACAGCATACCTTTTCTACTCCATGGCTTTTCGACTTTTTTTTTTCTCAATTCACACTGCAAAGCACGAACGGATGCTAGCTTAACCAACAGTGTTTAACCTTTTCTTCCCCTTCCTCCTCTGTGCTCGTAACCTGTTTATCTGTCTGTCTGACCTGTCTGTCTGACCTGCATTTTAACCTACCCTTTGACCCCTCTGTTTCATGATTAATGCTGAGACCCCCTTGACAATGTTACTATGTATTAACTGGTTGAAGCCTTTCCTTGCCTTGTTGTTTTCCACCTTGCTTAAACAAGGCCAGAATTGTCCAACCAGCTGTTTGTGTCCAGACCACCACACTGTGAACTGCTCTGGCCAAGGTCTAACTGGAGTACCAGATTCCATTCCTCTGGACGTTCGCCGTCTCCTACTATCCAACAACTGGATTCCATGGATCCCTTCTGACTTCCTGGTCCTTTACACAGATCTGGTGTATTTGGACCTAAGGAATAACTCCCTTTCCCAGCTGGAGCCAGGGACCTTGAGCACTTTTTCAAGATTAGTCTTCTTGGACTTGGGAAACAATAACCTGACTGAAATCCCCTCAGGAACATTTGGGGAATCAAGGAGTCTGATTAAACTACGACTAGGGGACAATCCCTATCTAACTATGGTAAGCAGAGATGTTTTTACAGGGTTGACGTCTTTGAGGGAATTGGAGCTGGAGAGGAATGGTCTCACAGGGCTGGATGTCAGGGTCCTGGAACTTTTGCCCTCCCTTAACATGGTGCGTTTGGAGGGCAACCCCTGGCTTTGCAACTGCCACTTTGCCAAATTGTTTGTATGGCTGACAAATAATCAGCATAAGCTCCCAACAGGTAAGATGTTAGCTAAGTGTGAATGAGCATCTGAGAAATGTAATTATTTCCATGAATTATATTTTAATGATTATAAGACACACACATACATACTACCAATTCCTACTTCCTCAAGCACCTACTGATATCCAGTACAGTAATCAATATGAGTCAGCTATTCCTACGTGGCAGCAGAAAGCGTAACAAAAACACAACTGTTACTGTTGTTGTTCTAACATCTGAAATATGAGTGAGTTTTCTGTTTTATCTTTTCTTCCTCCCTGTCACACTCTTTTTTTTTTAGATTTTTCAGTAATTGATAATGATAATAATAATGAATGTTGTCTTTATTTTCTCTTGCTACGTTGACATTATTATCACAACTGTAACTTCAGCTGTAATATACACAACTTGCCAAGATCTATTTTTAATTGTTGCTTTGTTCCCTTATTTCTTTTCTTTTGAATTTAACTTAGAAAAGTGCTAGCTTTTTGCTTTAGTGATTTGACATTCTTTGTATTCCAAATTTGCCCTGTGTCCCCAGCAGGGTGCCCCTCTTAATTTGCTAGAAACAAGTGGCGGAGGTCCTGTCTCCTCTTATCTTGACCCTTGAAACCTCTGCCCTGAACTACTGTCTGTGCACTTCTTGTTTCTTTTGATGCACTAGGCTAGAAAATCACTAGGTTTTACTAGTGTGTAAAGGGAAAGAACCTAAAACATGAGTTTACATGTTAGGTCATCATGTCTTTCTTCTCTTGATGCATCACACTAGTCCAGTACTTTCACATTAACATACCATCATGTGAAAATAAAACACACACTTGCTACTTACATCAGAATTAAAACATTAGAAGCAGCCAGATTCTATGCCCCTCTATGAAAAGCTGAAGTTTTGGGATTTTGTTGGTCTGGTGTTAACACAATATCACATTCATCACAGGAGTTGCACCTGAATAAACCACAAGACTTCTAAAACACTAAATCTATCTTGGACAGATGAGACCAAAGTAAAAACATTTGGCCAAATGATGACTGATTGCCAAATGAGGACAAAATTAAACACGCATATCAGCACAGATATCATGTGTTGTGGAATGAAAACCCAAGTGCAGACACTGAGGCACGGTACTTATTGAAAGGGTTTTTTCAGGTGTAATAGAAGTCCACAGAAAGGCAGGATAAAGTGAAGTATATAAATATAAATGGAAGACAAGCTGGAGATGATAAAAGGAACTCAGTGGAAGGATAACAGCTGTCACATCAAAGAGAATAAATTGATTAGAGGCATTAGGAAAAATTGGGCGAAGAAACAGCTGCAGTGAAGCAAAGAAAACAAGATAGATGAACAAAAACTATCAAAGCAGAAGCGACAAACAACCACCAAAATAAAACAGGAAGTAACTTAACAAACGTAGGACTTAACAAACATCAAAAACAAAAGGAACCCAAGGTTATCTGTAACTGAGAACTGAGGGCATGAAACACAAAAAACAATAAGGAGTCTATAAAAAGCACTAGAAGATAGAACTCATAAGCACAAGAAAAAGAATAAAGCAAGAAAATAAACCCAGATAGCATCATATTCTGGGATGGATCTGCCCTCAGGTCAGCAGATCCGCCCCACTTTCTGGCATCTGGACAGGATCCAGTCCACCTACGGAGAGGGTACACCTGCGTGCCTGCTATTCTCTTTTTTTCTTTTTTCCTTAAGCAGTGGATTGGGCAGCAGCACTTCTCTAAAGAGGTAAGTACTGTACACTTTTGTGTCAAATATACTTCATTCATGAAGTTACCATTTCAGTGAACATATATTAAGAGGTTAAACGTTTAAAAAGCCCCTGAGTGGTTTATTTTGGTGTGGCAGTTGCGGTGATAAAGTTATCTGTCCCGCTAGCTGTTACTCCAGGGCTGAACACGTGAAGGAATTTCCCCCCCGATTCCAGTAGAAACTGCCGGTAAAGTTAAGCTAACTCTGCCTTTTCTGTTCTCCACATCTGAGCACATCCATTACATTAAAGTGAGTATCATAAGTTGATTTGTTATCTCAGAGTTTGAGCCACCATTTTGGGTGACAGTTGATAATTTGTTGGCCATAAAATTATCCTGATTGAGCTGTTAACAGTTCCTTTTCAAACATAGCCATGCATTTACAGGCAGCTTCTACCATTCTTAAGAAAAGGTCAAAATACTCCAGAAAATTCTGAATTGGCCCTTTTTCCTCTCTGATTTATCAGCACATTAAAGGGCAACAATAAGAAATTTGTAACAGCAGCGTCATCCTCTGAATGTTTCATCACACTGTGAGATATGTTCTTATCTTTCAAGACCAATTTGATGGAGTTATGATCATGACACTGCATTATTTATTTATTTTGTCTTTAATTCACCAACTCATATTTACCTCAACTTGAGTTCATGCATGATCCAGTTTTTGGTTTCTTTTTATCGAATCCCCCTCTCGGTCCCTACACACATCTCCTGTTAAATAATATTAAAAACAGTTAACTAATCAGGGACGATCTTGATCTTGATCTGAAAATAAGCCCTAGACCATATAAATGTCACCACTTTCTTTCAGACTAAGAATAATACAGAATAATATATTTATTAATGATATTATACATCTGTGCTGATCTGTGTTGATCTTATTCAGGGCCTGTTTCATCTTTGCACACTGCCTCGGGAAAATAAGGTAAATACAGTTTAAACTTTGCATCAGTCACGTGTGTTTTTTTAATGTTTTGTGAACATCTGGAATCACTGGAATCCACTACAACAGCACCAGTCTCAGTTATTCGGAGGGGGGGGGGGGGGGGTTCTTTGCTTTTAGCACTGAGTCTGTTTTTGCATCGCTAAAATATAAATTATGAGCTAACTATGAAGTGTTAACACTCTGTGTTAAAGTCATGTGCACATGCAGAGTCAGAAGGAAAAAGGATGATGAAAATCTATAATAATCTTCTTACGGTTAGAGCAATGAATCTGAGTTACCTCACATGTGTATTTTCCTGTTGTGGGAGTTAATTAAATCCCCACCAAAAAAAAATCTGGGTACAGCTATTTTTAAATTACAGTTTTCTTTTGATTGGAGGCTAGGTGAGAAGTGCCAGATTTCTTTTTTTATCCAGGAGAACTCTAAAACAGCAGAAGGTGTTTTAAAATGTAACAAGAAATCAGCCAGATATCAGTGAACATTCAATCAGACAATTTTGCTATGAATCTTACATGTCTGACAAAACAAACAATATATGAAATGATATGTGTGATTATATGATATTAAGAGGAAGTTTTTTCTCTCTCTGTCTGCTGTCCAGTATAGATTTCCTCCCTGGCTGCCATCTTTGCTTTGAAGATGTTGGAGGAAGATCAATTAGAAGCGGAAGAAAACGTCAGGTAGATGCATCTACCTGATGCAAGACATTACTTACTTACTCTGTAAGTGATAATGTTTGAACATGAATTTGACACCACAGAGCAATGCTGTGATCAAACTGACATCTGAACTGATGACATTAAAAAAAGAAGTCATGCTAATTTATTTGATTGATTATTTGATGGCGCAGCCACGTCCAGACGCCTTCCTGACCGCTCCGCTCTGACTATCTACTTTTCTTGTTTTTTACCTATTTTTTGCTCTGGTTTACATCCCAAAATCCTCTAGTCTTATAGTTTACAACAGCGGATCACTTGTAAACATCGGTGCCAAGGTTGCACATCTAATCTTGGACACTTTTAAACCCGACCCTTCCTGGCCGCCAGAGATTCTACGCGGCGCGGAGAACAACAAAGGACGGGCCGCTCATCCGAGGCGCAGAACAAAGAAGCGCCGGGGGAAACGCGCTGGTATTAGGAACAGATTGAGACAGCAGGTGCATCGCGCACCACTGCCCAGTATCCTACTGGCCAATTTACAATCCATGGAGAACAAGCTCAATGACCTAAGAGCAAGGGTCACCTTCCAACGTGACATGAGGGACTGCAACATTCTGTGCTTCACGGAGACATGGCTGGCCCCCACCGTGCCGGATCAGGCCGTAACTCCGTCGGATTCATTCTTTGTGCTCCGCGCGGACAGAACGGCAGAGTCGAACAAAACCAAAGGTGGAGAAGTGTGTTTCATGGTAAACAGAAAGTGGTGTGATGCCAGGAGCATTTCTACTCTCTCCAGCGGCTGCTCGCCACATCTGGAGTTCCTGAGCATTAAGTGCCGCCCTTTCTATCTGCCCCTTGAGTTCACCTCGGTCATCGCCACGGCGGTCTACATCCCACCCCAAGCGGACACGGGTATGGCTTTGTCCGAATTACATGATGTGCTGAGCTCGCTTCAAAACAAGGACCCGGGCGCAGCCCTCATTGTAGCAGGAGACTTTAACAAAGCGAACCTCAGACAA